TGTTTTGTTTCCATGTCCTAGGCAGCCTCTGAGAGCAGGTGCTTGATGTTCCCCATAAATGTAATGCTGGCAGTTGTATCAGTGACTGCTGTGATTCTCTCTGGTTTTTGCAAGCTGCAGAGGGTTGTGTTGTTGCTGGGTCTTTGGCTGGATAATCTCCAGAGAGGATCCGGGATGATGTGGGAGGCGCCTTCCTTGGTCACCTCTGAATGAACATCCTAGCGCCCCGCAGTCAGACCTGTCCTGGTGAAGCAGATACTGGTTTTCAGATTAATATTCAGGACCCCTGAATGATTGAACAACAGAGAGTGCTGTCAGTCTGTCTGTGACTCCATAGTCACCTTAATCTGACATAACTTCTGGCTGTTATTGGATGCCTCAGTCCTAGCTTTCTCCTTTCCTTTGCCACTAGCTCCTGCCTTGACCCATATGCCAGTGCATTTGGGGTGAACTGTCTCCACTACCAAACCACAAAGAGACACGGTAAAGAAGGCTTGTCTGGAGGTCTTTCGGCAAATTGAGCCAGCGTGTGTTTCCAGATCATAAGTTAATGCTGGGATTCTAGTTTCCTCTTAAACCGCTGCTCCCTGTTTGTCAGAGTGACCTTTCTATTTGACAGGTTCCAGGTGCAACTGTGGCAATCGATATATGTCAGCCTTTAAAGTGTGTTCAGGTGAGAAAGGTAAAATAGTGGCTGCCTGATTGCTTCATTAATCTCTGCTTCGTGAAATCCCCCATCTTCAAGGGACAGAGTGCTGGAGCTTCTCCTGGTGCATCCATTTGCCATTTCAGTGCTCAGGCTGTCTCTCCTGGGCACTCTTGCTGTGACTAGTGTTTGTAGTTGTCATCCATGCTGAGTGGGAACCACAGAGGTGGCAGTGCTGGTTTCAAATTGCCTGTATTAATGTGACTGCAAAATAATTTCACTTATGGCCAACGGGTAATGTTGAGGAAATGCCAGCAGCTTGAAACACTCCAGCCCTTTCCTACTCCTGGGAAGAAACGAGCAGTATTTGAGAAACGAAACACATAGCTCTTGAAGGAATGAATAAGGCAGGGAATGGCAGCATTCACCCAGCTCTGAAATGAAGGTCTGTAGGTGGGATGGCAGAACTGCCCCACATGGCATCCAGAGCCAGATTTGGCCTTTGAGTGTAACATTCCTGGCCCCGTGGGGGGCATGAAGCCGTTATAAGGACTGGCAGCACAAAGAAGAGCCCTATGAAGGATGCTGGCTGTATGTGTGAGAGCTTACGGAGAATTTAGGTATCACGAGGGCACGGTGTTCATGACTTGGTGGTGCGTGAAAACTCAGCAGCGGTAGAATCTGAAGCTCCAATATTTCTCTGTTTCGTGGCCTGCTCCTCACTGTCACACAAGCTGGCATGCACTGAGTTGCAAAGTAAAGGGAGGGCTGTGCGCAGGTATGGGCACGCTGCCCCAAGGTAGCTCCTGTGTGCTTTGCAGGGAAAGCGACCTGCACTGCTGTAGGATGAGTGCTGGGTTTTAACTTCTGCAGGCTGGAGCAGAAATCCAGGCTGGTGTTGGGGTCTGTTGGGCAGGATTGTGGACCAGACTGGTGTGCAGCTAGATCGCCTGTGGCTGTTTCATGTCCTTACAACACAGTGCTCTCCTTTTTACTTCCATCTCTCGAGCTGCCTGTTGTTTCTTTCTCTGTGAGCTCATGTTGCAGCAGAGGGGGAGGAACAATAAAAGTACTGCTCGGTTCATGCCAGCTGCTTCCCCGAAGCCAAAGCTGTCAGGAGGCCATGCACAGGAGCGTGGGCTGAGCTTGGAGCAGGCCCCAAGTGCTGGGGTGGAGATTTCTTCCCACCCGCATCCTTGTGTTTGGGGCCCCCCTTCTGCTGTGGTATCTGCCCTGCCTCCAAAACCCTTTTTTTTAAATCCCCACAAGGTGGGGATTGCCCCGGAGGCTCACCACCCCTTTCTTCTGACGGTTTACCAGCCCTTTCCCTTCTAGAGCCATTGCCTTGCCCTTTGCACACTTGCCCCTTTCCAGGTGGAGAAGAGCATCCTCCATGCAAGCTTTACCGGTTGATCTGCAAGAGATCAGTCAGGACAGACATGTCCTGTCCTTGGAGGGGACGGGTGTGGTGACTCCCTGGCACTTGCTGACCTTGGGTTTTAAGGGAGGCAGAGGTGCAGGCGATTCCTTTTGAACCCAGGTCACCCTGAGAGCGTTTGGATTCGAGCTGAGCTGTCGGTGTGAGGATGCTGTCTGAGCAGTACCCCGTCGCTGCTCTCTGCCCCCTTCCTCACGCAGCGTGGTGGGGGAACAGCGCCTGGGCTGCAGGCCCAGCTGAGGGAGGAAGGTAGTAGATAGATGGATGTGGGTCAAGGGGAGACCTGAGGGCTGCCAGGTGGGCTCTATTCCCAGCTCCTCCTTGGATCTTGCTTCTCGCTGCCAGGTTTTCAGGGATGGAGCGGCTGAGACAGGAGGTGCTGTCTGAGAGCAGCGTATGTCTGTGTGGTCTGCAGGACTCAGACAAGGGCAGCAGACAGTCTCTGGCGGCACGATGGGGACTATGCTGTGATCTGAGCAGGCTAGGACATCTGGATAGGACTCTTGGCAAGGAGGCTTGAGCAGATTTGTGCTGGTGTATTAAATTGCCATTGTCCTCGTGTGTATTACTGCACTTATCTTTCCCCTGCAGCACAAGTGGAGGGTGGTTTGGCAGAGCTTTGAGAGGGCCTGGGGTCTGAGCGCTGGGGAGTCTTGCTGGCAACAGCAGAATAAAAAAGCAGAGCTTTCACACAATCAGGAGGTTGTGGCAAAGCACCCCCCCCCCGCCTGGAGCACTCCCTCATCCCTTTTGTATTCGGGCACAGACCTGCAGGGCACCCACCACCCCACGCTCCGTCCTCGCGTCATCCCTCGGCCAGTTCCTTCATGACTAATCCTGGAGCGGGTGCACGGGGAGAAGCTGCAATCACCTCTATAAATCTGCCCTCTTGCTGCCGGGTTTTTGACAGTAATGAACGTGGGAGGAGAGATGGGGAGGGGTGATGGGGGATGATAACCGAGCAGACGCTGGGGGTGCTGGGCTCCTCGCTGCTTTTTTGCAAGCTGGGCTATGGCAGATTGATTGACCTGGGAGCCATTGAGCAAACAAGGCAGTCAGACTCTTCATTAGAGCATTAATTAGCTTCCAGAGGTTCTCCAGGGGCTGCTTCGTAAAGTTTGGTTTATTAGGAGCTGTCAAGTTGAAACCATCATGCAGGGGGAGGGTGGAGGCTCCTCAAGCTGGCCTTGGAGAAGCTGGGGGAGGCTTGTGCTTGAACCTTACTTTGAGAGTGGGGTGAGCCAGAGCTGTGCTTCCCCTGAAACCCT